AACATTTATACCAACAGAAATTGTGAAGGTGATAAAGTTGAGGCTTGCTTGCTTGCTCACAAGCGAACTTACAAGTAGAATTCATATGAACCAATGATTTGATACAATGCAAGATTATATTAACTTCGTATTAACCGAACGCAAAGGTTATACATTGGAATATTGGCGCGAGGTCGTGGCAGTAGAAAAACCACCAAAGACCAATATTTCCCAGTAGGGCTTGAGTAGGAGAGGTAGTAAGTAGTTTATAAAATGGCACTCGGATAAAACTTGTTTATTTTGAATTTGTAGCTATTGCAAACAAAAGCACAAGGCATATGACCGTTTCCGTGGAAATGATCCATGTGGACGTTGAAAATTACAGAGGAAGCTTATATGAAGTCACACTCTAGATGGCTAATTTTGTAATACTTTGAGATCATCACGCGATGAGGATTTCACCATATACCTTACACTTGCGCAAGGAGAGAGGTTTATCGGTATCTTTAATGACACATTTCGCGGTTATTCAAACAAAAACTTGCGGTTCCCTCGTATCAACATTATCTAAAACCAGTTATGATAAAACAGCCGCTAGAAAGCGTTGATCTCTTTCAAAATCGATTTTTTGGACGTCGAAACAACCTTTCGCCATATATTTCCTTCTAGCAACTTGGAATTTTCCCCCCTTGGCGATCCCACAAATATTTGCGCAAACACAAGGATCCGATCACTGACAACTAATTCATGAAATTCTTCTTCATATGCGTTAACAACCGTAAAAAAAATTTCAATCAGACCAAAGGAGTTCACCGGACAAAACTTATTCTAGAATAGACATTCTCCGTTTAACAGCTGTTATTTTAGCCCTGATATGGTAGAAAAAACTGATACCCAACAGTATTAGCTGTAATAATCCCAATCAACTATCTAACGGCAATCAAGAAAAATAAGCCGGGGAAACCATTCCCTACGATGTAGGAAAGCTGATCCCTAACAGTCTTACCCCTAGTTACGAACTACTTTAATTAACGGTAATCTGTCCCATGTGACGGCGGTTGGAGAAGTTGTTATTGCGCGTGCTCATGTAACAGTATGTCCCACGCTCCGTGATGCGGAAGCAAGGCGGGTTGCAGGAGGCTGGGGCGTTGTCCAGTTGAACATTCAGTTTATTTGGGTTACCGTTGTAGCATCCAGTGTTGAGGTGAAGATTCAACTTGTCGGCAGAAAACTTATCAGCTTGTTCAACTACTTCAAGAGGCAAGCTCGTACAAGCCTTTGGTTTAAGTGATTGGCATCCTTCCTTTACCCAGCACACGTTTGTTCTGTCTGATCCTGAAAAGATACAAAAATTTCTTTAAGATGAAATGTTCGGGTGCTGACAGAGAGAATTGTTTTATTTCATTGACCATCCCAAAGAGAATCAATGAAGCTTTGGGTTTTCAGTGTTCAATTAAGATTCTTTAAAGGAATGAAATGTACACTTTGCAGGTTCAGATCTAAGCAAGACAACATTTTTTTTTTATCCCACAAGAACGCATACAGTCGAACACCTGTTCTGTGGAACCTGTAGTTAACGGTCACCTCACTATTCCCCGTGGGTGACCGCTAAATACCGATTCGATTGTAATTATGTTTACTTTCTATTCACATTAATGCTTAATCTCCATGGAGCAAATTTTCATCAAAATTACTCACTTTTTTTCCCTTGGCCCTCATTATCTGGATTATCGTTGGAACCTGAAGAAGGGATTGGAAACGAAAAATTAACTCTCTGACTGTAATTATGATTATTGAGTGAAGTTGAGCTAATTCTGTCCGAATTTGACGATAAATAATTTATGTGGAAAATGATGGATTTCTTTTCGCTAATGAATTCAGTGCTGAGTCTATAACTTCAAAGTTCGATGATGGCTTGAGAGAATGCTTTGGCTGATTTTCCTACCTTTGAGGCCTTCAACATACGACTTAGCTGCCTCACCACTCCAATTCACTTGCATAAATATTCTCATTTTACTCTGGACTCTAGCGCACGTATTATAATATGTATCATAGTAGCTATGGTTACGGTCTTTGAGCATTTTGAAAAAATTCGCCTAAACTTCTTAAGTCCTCCATTTGTAATTCGTAACAATCTGTGAATTTTAATTTTCCATCTCCACTGTTTTTACATTTCAGAAAAAATTTTTTGCGGTTTCCCTCGTGCTGAGGTTTTTATGTCAGAAATCTAGATAAATTACCATGACGTGACTTCAGTATCAAACCTTAAAACACAAAACATTCCGCTCCACGGTAACTACGTTACTGCAAACAGACTCACCTGACCAAGCGAAGCACAAGACATCATTTCTAGAAACAGTGATACTTTCAGGGGTAAAGCGATATTCCATGGCTGGGTAAGTCTGAACGATGTTTCCTCTCTTTCCCATTCCTCCGATGTAGAAGATTTTGGAATTCTGGAATTTTTGAAGCAAAGAGCTTCTTGGCTTGAGGTGGATTACATGTGATCTGTCCTGGAATGTACGACCCAGTTGAGCGGTGTTCAAGGCTAGTTGAAGTTTGGTTTTGCCGTCAACAGCAAGTGTTTTGGGATTATTCTCTTCGCTAAAAAGGCAATAATGTTTCACGATTTTACTGCTGTTTCTTAACCTCACTTGGATGTGTCGTAATAAAATTACCCATAAGGCTCGGTGATATTCTTATGATCCCCTCTCATTGGCAGTTAATTGGCATTTAATTTTCCATAGTCCCCCCCTTGACCGCTTAACTAATAGAAGCCATAACACTGACTGATTATTTTACACCCATTCAATAAAGTCTTAATACAACCTAATATCGACAAGGTATACTTAACCCTTTATTAATTGATGCATAAAGTTTGCGAAGGTGGCTTAAAATAAAACAAACAAACAAAAACAAAACAAAAACAAGGAAACAAGTAAACAAAAAAGCAAGGAGAACTTGTTACAAAATTAAAAACTGAAAGATATTTCAGCAGAGAATTCGATATGCATAAAGAGGAAATTACCAGCTTTTACTCTGAACATAATCAGTCCTCCTGTTTACTCACCCATCGTTATTTGAAACAGTAAACGTCCTCGGTACATCTTTTGTTGTGATGTTATATCTGTCAATTTAAACCAGCATGTCACAGTTAATTATATGAAAATGTAATGAAAATGTAGGAAAAAAATTATAATGACCGAAGAGAAAACAGAAAACTTAAGATTCAGGCCTTCTTCCACACAGGTCAGAGTAACAAGTTCAGGATGGATGCAGAGGAAGCAATAGTCGAAGGAGGTCACCCCGCCATTTGCTTAGCGCCAGGGTTTCAAATTACTTTGGAGACGATTTGGAAACGCCTCCTGTTTTGTTGGTATAAAGAATCGCTCAAGTGTTGCATGAAAACCAGACTAATACGCACTTTTCTTGCATATGGTTGGGAATGGAAAGGAGGGGCATATGAATGCTAGGAGACCTATTCAAAATCATGATTTATTTTCCGTGAGCCTTCCTTAATCTGCGTTTGTTACCTCGATTTAACCATTTCACCAGGTTGCAATGGAGGAACTCAAATTAAATTAATGATCACATCTACCATACTTGTTTCAAAATTCGTATTCGGATCTCGTAACAGATCTAAATAAAAAAATTTAAACTTGACTTTTCTTACCTGATTCTCAACACGCATCGTTGTGGAGTGTTTGAAGGAAAGTGAGGAATCTTCCATTTGTATGAGGAGAACTTCCCGTCCATGTTCATGCCATTGTGATTCACAACTGTGGATGGTGCGTCTAAAACCTCAGGGGAGTCTGCCAGTACAAGACCTTGCTTGCCCTCTCCAGTACCCTGTGTTATCAGATGAGGCTCATACGCCACACCCTTGTCCTTAGATGCGAACTTTTCTATGAAGTTTGTTTGTACTTGGGTCCAACTTCCTCCTGCGCCTTGGCACGAATCCTGTGTAATGAACCTGGCCACACATTTTTCGTTTCGTTTGTTCTTTTGAGGCACTTTTGGACAGAGAGTTTTTGCGACACCATCATCTATAATGCACAACCCTGAAAGTTAACCAAAGAGCGTCATTTTTCAACATACAATCGTGGACTCTTATGAGGGGAAGTATTTGAAAAACTTACATTTTTTTCCGTAGTCTCTCTTCACATGATCCCGTATAGCACTTTTTGTAGTGCTGTCACTGACCAAGATAGCAATGTCCTTCCAGGGGGTGGGGCCCCAGTAAGGATAGTAATCACGTTCCTCTGGTACTTCAAATCCCCTTCTCTTCCCATCTGGGTTCTGCCTGGTGTAAATTGCACTGTTACCTTTTAGGTCTTGATTAGCGGTAAACAAATCTGTGAAATGCAATATCTGAGGCTAGAAATGTTTGAATTCTTTGTTAAAGTGTGATTAAAACTTAATCGGAAAAAGTGAGAAGTGAGTTGAGAGGAATATTGACTCTAATAGAAAATGCCACCTTTGTTTCTTTCTCTGCGCTGATAGGTTCTGTAGTACTCTAAGGGCTCATGCAATCCGCGTTCCATTTTCACTTCATTATTTTCTTGTGAGCCGGCATTGAAATTTTGCTTGTCCCGTTCTTCACCATTTCGAATGTTGGGATACTTATATTTAGACTCTGTAACTTCTTGACACATGTATTGCAGGATGATTTGTGATTCCACTATGTCTGCACTTTCTGTTCCGGTTCCATGTTGATTTGTCCACATAATTTCAACCTCAGTTTTTGCATTCTCTTTACTGCCGCTCATGAAAAATTCCTTTGGTTCGAGAAAAAAAGGACCTATTTATGAACTATTTGGCGAGAAAAAAAAATTAATTAGGGAATAATACATGTGCGCACGTGGATATGGAATTTCTCTTCGAGTGTTCCACTTGATAGCCTACGAGTGAGCGCATAGAACGAGTGAGATGTCGAGTTGAACACTAGAACAGAAATTTCATATCTACAAGCAACCATGTATTATTTTGTTTATCGTATAAACACACCAGCCCTTTACTGACAAGAAAAGTCACGACTTTACTCATGAATGAAAATATAAGGCCGGGATCGACAGTCCCTGAATAAGAATCGTAAGATGCGTTTGCACTAAAGCTCAAGATGAAAAAGTGCGTTGAATGGTTACTAAAACAACAATGGGCGTGATTTTCAATATACAAAGTTTCCATCCTGACCAAGTGACGCTTTCAGCAGCTGATTGGCGATATCAAACAGACGTGAAAAAATATCGTATTTTTTCACGTGTGTTGTTTCGGCTTTTTTCAGTGATGGAAATCTTTGTATAATACCTTAGTTTATTTGCTAATATGTTTTAATATTCCTGGCTAAAAAACAGGATATCTTCACCGCGGTTTTAACTCAGACCTCGGTTTTGATAATTCATGATATCATGTTCGACCTCATCCAATAATTGCCTATCACGCCTGGCATGGATTTGAACATTGTGTGCCACTGCCCAATCTAGGGCACGATTTTGACGCCATTTCTGTTAAATTGCTTATTTAACTTCGAATGCAGCAGCTCCTAATGCCGTTTGTTTTCTTTGTTGATCATTACTTGTAATGTATTTTGATTTCGCTTATGGTTTCTCTAAATATGCTTGCAAAACCATGGAAACTTCTGACGCAGTGTCAGGATCAACTGCTGTGTAGGACATGATTGGCACTTGGTCATAAATATATATCAATGTATATGATGAGTTGGCGGCAAAACAGGCTGATTACTCTAATGAGGATAAGAGTCTTAAGAGTATGCATTAAATTGAAAATATATCCAACCAATGGAAGCTGCCTGTCTTTCGGTATTTTGTTCCTGGTAGTGCCAGTTCCGCTGTCTCCAACGTTGTAACCGCCCTTACCATTGTTCTAAAAGAGGATAATAAAGAACTGATTAAGATAAAAGGGAACAACACCAAACAATAGTTCCAGCAAGCGACTGAGTGTGTATATTTTATTTCAATTTAAATTTTTAAATAAAGATGACTTCCTCTGATTGAGAATTCTCTCTGATCTCATTATCTGACTGATGGAAATATTTCGAAATTATTTGGAGAAGTTTTATGTTAATTAGTTCTGGTCGAGGGGTCTCAGTCTGCTAAAGTAAAGCTATGCAACTTCATTGTATCTTGAATTTACAGATTGGCTTAGTTGCTAGAATAGATCTTCGAAAAATAATCCTTCAAAGACAAAAACCACAAATAATATGACAAAATGAATAATTAGAATAAAAATAAAGATAATATATCTATATATATTATATATATATATTTATACTCTATATATGCTATATAAATGATACATATAAATATATATATATATATATAGTGTCTCCTTTTGATGAGAAGACAAAAGGTAAATATATTTAATGCACATTTTCAAATTGCAACGTTTTTGACAACGGATGTGTATATATATATATATGTGTGTGTGTGTGTATGCATGCATAGTGTAGTGATCAGTAATCATGCCTGATCGAAAGGGAAATGTTTCCACGGGACGTTTGAATCCAGTTTAAGTAGCGGAGTCGGTTATCTACAAGCATGCGCAGTACAAGACATCAATTGCATGCTTCGTGACACCCACCTGAGAGTCGAAAAGCCTGTCATCGTTGTCCACGTTTTCCTTGTTCCCGTTCAATCTATTGTTGCTTCCAGGAGGAAAATGAAGATATACATCCGCCCAACAGAGATATAAGAACGTTGACAACGCGAAACCAAAGGTCAATATGATCTGCATATTTCTGACGAATGAAAATAACCGCTCTAACTAAGATGATGGCTTTATCAACTTCTAAGATGCTATTTTAAAATCATCAAGTTAAGGATTTTCACTTTAACAATAGGTTAAAAATTAGAGAAAAAGATGTCAGTAAAAGTATAATAAATGAAAGGTGGATGAAAATCACTGAAACTGATCCTATAAAACCTTCATCCACTTTTTTTATTGCTCAGTTCTGGTGCATCTTGCAGCATTTATTCAATTTAAGAGGGTCTCAATGGGGTGATGACTTTTACGGCTAACGGTAAAAATTCTGACCAATTAACGGCTAACAGTTAGTATCTTTCCAATGTGGTAACCAGAATTTTTTTGTACGGTAAACTTTTTTTTTACGACTGACCCGACTAAAAATTGACAATTTTTACGCCTGAAGGCTAAATTTTGTGGCTGTTTTATGGCTAACGGTGAACGCCATTGTGACCCTCATCTAAGTGTTCCCTTATTTATTACATAAGCCAAATCCTGTTTCGAATGTCGCAGACAAATTCCATAAAGAACTATCACTGCCTCAATTAAGCGAGCTACATTTAACAAAGTAAGTTTACTTCTTCAGTTAGCGTCGTGGATAAGAAATGTAATCAAACAAACCAAAATCGAAATCAAGGACTCTCATACAAATTCACAACGGGCTAGAAAAGTTGTTCAGTTCTGGCAAATCACCTAAAATGAACTTATGCCTGTGTTCAAGTTATTACTCAGTATATTAGCCTACTTTGTCTGTTTCTCCGTTAAGTTCTTGTTTTCACTCAGAATGTCAATTTTCCTATATTACGTTAAGGGCCAGAATATTCACTATCGCAAAGTTTTGCAAACTTTTTTTTGTACTATCATAGCAAAAGGGAACTAAGATCTTGTTCGAAACTAATACGGATTTACTCCACTTGGTCAGTGAAACACTGAATTTGTCCGAACATAATTATAATTCATACATTTAGGGAAGAAATCGCATCATACTGATTGTAAAGTCAACCGTCAAAAGCCCAAACCCGCGGTTAAAGCTACTCTTTTTGAGACTCTCGTATAACGCCGCTTACGCAAGCGCTTGTCTGCTACCTGACTTGGAAAAAAAAAAAGAAAAGGAAACTAAACTGGCTTAGGAAAGATTTTAATTAATTTCATAACATGATTTTATAGCTTATACTGGCTTCTTAATTGATTGATTAATACTCACGACTCGGTAACATATTGCAAGAGATCAGTATTTCAGAACACGTCTTACCGTTTATTTCGCTCTCTCCGTTCACAGACAACAGTTGTGGTAGCTTAGTTCGCTCTACTGAAATTATCAGTTCTACCACTCAGTTATATTACCACCTTGAGATCAAATAAACTGAGCCACAATTTGGTAATCAAATTGTTGCCGAGGAAATCACTATGTTAGCAAAAACTCCCAGAGTGCTGTTTGTTTTCTTCAATACAAACTCGAGTCTTTTTTTTTTTTAACAATACAGGCTATTTACACTACTGACAGTCAAAATGTTCCACTTACTGTTAAGCACTTATATTGCTTATGTTTTTTACAATAAACTTATAATCGTGATTATTGTCCTTTGATTAGAATTAATTTTTTTTTTGTAACTTGTTCATATTTGCTTTACAATAAGAGAAACGAAGAAAACTTACACCTCGCGCACACTCTCACATCCATAAAAAAGCATATTGACACATGCATACAACTTTTACTAGAGACAAAGAAAAAATTACACTCACGCTTAGCTTTTTAGCTTACAATTTAGCTGAAAATTCAGTGTTACAGATGCATCATTGGTTTGAGAGGGAACCAGTAATTTGAGATACCCGGCACTAAAAGGACAACAAGGTGTTTTCTTATTTACCTCAGAGAACGTAATAAAGGTTCTCATTTCTTTGGTGTTGCTGTAACGTTCTTCCCTATATAATATATAAGTTTCAGAGATCGTCTAAAGTAATGATGGAGTATTAGGTTGCCACGGAAATCACTATGTTGCCGAAAGAACTCCCGGAGTGCGCTTTCGGTTTTCTTCAGTAGTTTCTATAGTCTTTTTTCGCCCAAATCGTAACTTCTGGTTAATCATAAAAGCGAACGACGGCTTTCAGGACTCTCGACATGATCTCACCATGTGATTTGCTCGAAGGGGGCATGACGCGGCACCGCTTGGAAGGAGCCATTCTTTAAATAGTAGAGTTTACATATAAATATTTAAATATTAAAGTACATGTATCTTCAAACTGCCAGTTTATGCCAAAAGCAATCAAATGATTGTAAGGTAGTAATTAAAATATATTTTAATACTTGGACTCTGGTTTGCCATTCTCATGCAAGATTCTTCGAGATTTAGAACTGTTCGTGGCAAGAGGGTAGGCTAAATGAGATCTGAAAGATCACTGAAACCGCTCGGCGGTTAATAGTGAGCTGCGCTTTTAACTGTTGACTGTTTGAATATGTATATCCTTTTTGGTGGTTTGATTTTAGGCAGTGTCATAACTGACCATTAAACCCTGTTGACACCCGCTTATGCTTGTATTCACGTTCGTTAAGTTCTCCGCTGTTCTAATTTTGTTCGCGCTCTGGACAATGATTGTAAAAAAAAGAAAATGGTTGTGTTCCTAGTGAACACTTATTGTGATAGACACTGGAACTGGGTAGGTGAAACTTTGAAATGGGCTTTCAAGTACAATGAAATTTTTGAAGCATCTCGGTCTAGTGTGTGACAGCTTCGGAATGACGTGCAATGAGGAACAGCTGTGCAAGATATCCATCCAGATCAAGTGCTTAAAAAGACACTAACCTTGATAATCACACGAAGTATACTGTCGCTCAAGTAAATAGAAGGCATAGGCCTGAAAGAATCTCCCAACACAAATGGCTCCTAAGGAGCCGTATCACAAACTACACAACAATTTGTTAAACCAGCATTGTGTAAGAGTTATAAGAGACTGATAGTCTGATAACGCTCATATAGAGAACAGAGAACCTGCTGGATACATAGATTGGTCAAGTATCCTCAATACCCAAGCAAAAAACTAACTCTATACTGTTTCTCAACTTCAACATGAATCTTTCAACATTCTACAGTATGCTTAGATTTTGAGGTAGTCGCAAAGAAAGTAGCCATGTACTTTACTCAGCGTTATCACTCATAATATTCGCTCGCTATACCTTTCGAGTCAGTCGATTTGATGGAATTTTGACCATCACTGACAATTTTTCAAGACAGAGGTTTCCAAGAGGGGAAAGTTTTATGCGGTTGCCTTTGTAGTTTTAGCCACGTCACTAAGATGGGTGTCAACAGTCCAAGGAAAGCACTTCTGTTGAGTGACCTGTCAGCAAACTGACACGATTCAAAAAACGACCTTATATGCAGCGGTTATTTTGATCGCCAAATTGAACAGATGCAGACAACAACCCTTATTTGGAGCACATGCCAATGATTTAAGTAAATATTGCATGGACAAATACTTTTGGGGGAGAGAAAAATCAGGAGAAAAAGAAGGAGGGAGGAGTGAGCAACAGATTTTGTTCTGCCTATAGCGGGATAAGATTCCTGTATACATAGAATGTTAACTTTCTTATACTAAGTTAACGGCCAGAAGAATCATCGCTGCAAAGTTCTGAAAATTTTGTTTGCACATGAAGTAAAGGGAACTATGATATGATTTGAAACTAATAATTAAGCATTGCTAGAGGTCTTTGAACTAAGTTTCACTCCACTTAGTCAATGAAAAATTGATTAAGTTCAAATATAATTCATAAGTCATATATTTAAAGAATTTAAAGCTTTATACTGATTCTAACTCATGCAAAAAGGAAACATCTTCCTAATAGCCCAAATGCACTATAATTTAACAGCCAACCTCAGAAATCGAAAAAAATTTGTCTGTCAACCGTCAAAAATATTCCCCATAGAGATCACCGCATAAAGTCCCATACACGATGGCTCGCCTCATTCTTCCTAACTTAGGAGAAAAATGAATAGATCGGAAGAGTTAAACGACTAAGGGAAGGATATAATTAATTTGAGTTTTATACACACGGTTCAGAAACATATTGCAAGAGGCCAATATTTCAGGACACTTCTCACCTTTTAACTCGCTCTCTTCGTCTACGGACAACAGTTGCAGTGAGCTTTCAGTCGAAAAGTTGTTAGGTCGCTGTACTATTCTTTTCAGTTTTCACGCTCAGTAAAATTACCATCTGGTAAAAATTGAGCCCACAAAACTTAGCCAAAGTTTGATATGTAAGTGGTTGCCGAGAAAATTACTATGCTGGCAAAAACTCTCCGAGTGTTTCTGTTTTCCTCCTATGCAAACTTGCCTTTTTCAATATAACAATACAGGTTACTTAAAGTACCGACAGTCACAGTGTTCTTCCTACTGTTAAGTACTTATATTCTTATGTTTTTGCAATATGCTCATAATAATAATCTTTGTTCCCTATTTAGAAGTTTTTTTTTTTGTTACTTATTCATACTTGCTTTACATTACAAGAAAAAAAAGAGAAGTTACACCTTATGCACACTCCCCTATCTTCACAAACACAAAGCACGTTGACACATTGACACAATCTCATTAGAGAAGAAGAAAAAAATGACACTCAAGCTTAGCCTTTTTGCTTACAATTAAGCTTACAATTCAGAGGTACAGAGAGAACATTGGTTTGAGAAAGATGGCCGATTTTATTTGCCACAGAAAACGTACGAAAGGTTCTCTTTTCTTTAATGTAGTTGTGACGTTCTTCTCCAGTTGTTAAGTATGTTATAAGAGTATAAAGTATTGATGAAGTATTGGGTTGCCAAGGAAATCGTTATGATGGCGAAAACTCCTAGAGTGAGTATTTCGATTTCTTGAGTAGTTGCTCGAGTCTTGTATCACCCAATTTTTTTTTCTTCAGCTTAATAACATAAGCTAAAAATGGCTTGCATGATCTCGCCTTTGATTTGAAGGGTGGGCACGGTATAGCACAAACAGACATTAATTTTTTTGTGTTCTTCAGTCAAAAGGATGCAAGCGCGAGGCGAGCGCCAAATGCGAGTCACGCGCGAAGGGGGAGAGTGAAAAAAAAAAAAAAAGACTTTTTCCTCTGATGGATAGTATTCGAATTAATTTAGTTTTCTTTCTTTCTTTTTTTTTTACATTGCTGTTACTCCCCCGCGATACATTCACTTATGGCAGATTGGAAGGTTTGTTTGAGTCTGTATGTAGAAATAGTACGCATCCCTTAGAATGTGGTATTACGATATGCTTTTAAGCTTTTCAGGACATTCAGGTTTGTATGAAGCAGCTAAAACAAAGATCTCTCTCTTTGGTTCTGCTATGT